CATTGTACTTTCTGATGGTTGTGGACTTCAAAATTGGCCAGGATCGTAACATTAGTATAATTGGAGTTTTTGTCCCCCATAATTGAAGCTCTTTGTGCTCCAGGGGCCACGGCCTTGGGACATGGTATTAGTGTTCCCCACAGCATGACGTCAGTTTGTAAAGTCTACTACATAGCCCAAAACCACCTCAGAGTCTTCTCTCCACCCTGAGTCCAGAGTGTCTTTTCCCCATAAACCAAGCCCCCCCATGAACAACCAGCACTCGTCCTCGCGATGAGTAAGCATCCACAGTGTCTCTCATAATATTGCTGTGCCATCCTCCCCCAGATACAACACACCCTAATTGTGACAACCGAGAACTGGAAAGGTATCTTATATACGTTCATCATCAGAGTGCATTGTGTTTGGGGGAAGACAGTAGTCCTCTCTTACGTCTCGTTTTGCAAGCATCTCTGGCAGGAATGCCAAGCGGGTGAACGTCTCCAGATTGGCATGATTGTTTACCAGTAAGGAAAGTCAGGCTGATTGAAGTTATTCAACATTATCTTGTGCAGAAGCAGCAGAACTCTTTTAACCACTGGTCAATGGTCATTAATATTTTTTTTTGTCTGCCGCCTTCTTGTTTCAGATTGGAGCATCCGAGAAGTTTGTCAAAGTGATAGAATTTCTTCGTAAGCAGCTTCATCGTGAAACTCTGGTGAGTACCTCTTGCATATCACCTGCTTCAACAAGCAACGCCTGGTCTCCGTCTATGAATCCTGCTTGATAAGCTTTTGCTCTTTGAATCATCGCTTGCCACTCTGCTCAAAGTGGCATATATGTCAGGGGTGTTGCAAAATCAGTGAATGCGTGCTGCATGCACAGACACAGGCATACAGAGGGAGGGATCCAGCAGGGAATCAGCCAGGCACAGGCATGCTAGAGAGAGAGAGAGAGAGAGAGAGAGAGAGAGAGAGAGAGAGAGAGAGAGAGAGAGAGAGAGAGAGAGAGAGAGAGAGAGATGCATGATTTGCGATTATGTTGTGAACCAATGGAGGACTTTGATTCTGGTAATGTGTGTGGGTTTACATTCAGCATGTCGTTTTTCTGTTCTGCAGACTCGTCGCTTCTTCTAAAGACTGTTCAATCATGTCCCTGCAAAACCTGCATGTCTGTTTTGTCTGCAGCTTGCGGTCGGAACTCATGCAGAGTTGTTTGTATTGCTTCTGTAATATTAGGACCATACTTGCGACGCACAATGTGATTAGATTGGGCCATTGCCATTCTCTGACATTGAGTGCCAGCGACTTTCCATCAAATCCACTGTCAATGCTGTCATGCAAAAAGACTGGAAGTGACACTCATCACCCAGCCCTTGTGACTGAATGGTACACTCACACACATGTAGTAACTGTTGCTGAACAGATCATGAGTTTGACTCCTGACCGGCTCGGATGGATGTAGTATTGTCCGGGCCTACCGCCTTAGTACGCAATTGAAAGGAAGAGAATCACCCAACCCTTGTAGCTGAATGACACACAAAAATCCTGGAACATGCGGCACAAGTTGGCCCCCCTTAAAAAAAAAAAAAAAAAAAAGAGAAAAAAAAAGGAAAAGAAAAAAAAAAGAAAAAAAGAAAGACGAAAAAAGTAGAATGACATTCAATGGTAACTGTCGATGAGGAGATCAGTATGAGTTCAAATCCTGAGTGAGTCAGATGGGTACAATCATGGTAGCCCCCCCCCGCCCCCTTTATGGGAAATGGAGAGCAAGAGGATCACCCAACCTTGTTGTTGAATGATACACAGATGTAACTGTTAATGATCAGATCACGTGTTCAAATCCTGACTGACTCGGATGAATGCAATACTGGTAGGGGCCAACAAAAAAAATGGAAGGCAAGAATAATCCACATGTTGCTCCCCTGCAGGGAAAGGTTATCTTTGATTACTCCTTTTTCTAAGGATGGATGGATGGACGACGGGAAGATGGACCTTCTCATACAGCTTTTGGATGCGTGTTGTGTTCCTGCAGTTCTTGTACATTAACAGTGCATTTTCACCAAATCCAGACGAGCTTGTTGGAGACCTATTTGATGTGGGTACTCGCTTAATAGCCTTATCCTTCCTGTTTTTCCTATTAAAAATAAAATAAAATGAAACTAGCCTGTTTTCTAGCATTCAGAGCGCCCTGCCTCATCTCGCTGTTCCCATATCTCTCAAGTTTGTAAGTTGTTTGTTTGTTTGTTTGTTTGTTTGTTTGTTTGTTTGTTTGTTTTTTCAACAAACTGAAGTCATTTGCGGAGTTGTTTAGAACAGCTACTCGACACCAATCGAAGCAAGTCTTAGGTTTTTTTTTTTTTTTAATGGGCGACGACCTTGAGATATCATCATAGAACTGACGGGCTCCAGGTGTTCAGAAATTCACTCAACTAGTTCCATCTGGATTCAAGCTCACGTCTGAATTTCAGCAGTGGTAGACAGAAATCCAAATTGCAAAATCACGCTGTGGTCCAGATAGTCATGTACCAAACAGAGAGCGCAAGGCACCAAGATACCGTCCAAATAAGAGCAATACAATGACCCCAAATGTCAATGCCGACGTTCTCTTGCCACACCAAAGTAGTATCCAATGTCGCGCCTACGGATTGGTGCCCAGCGCCCAGCCTACACTACTCAGCCTATCTAGCCTATGTATGTTCATGCAACAAGATCACATCGAAGTTGAAGACCAATGTCGGTGACGTGATCACCAATGCAGACCGCCAGCGTACACCAGGTACGTTTCTCTCTCTTCTCCGTATCACACCTCGTCTTCCCACTAATGTGCCTCCTACCCGAAGACCACCATTGCTCTGACGAGGCAGAGGCAGAGGCAGAGCAACGAGGCTGGGAGAGAGAGGGAGAGGGAGAGCACACACACACGCTCACCCAACTCGACGCAGAATTGACACAACTCGACGGATGCAGACACAAAGTGGCAAAGTCACAAAGTTGCAGTCTTGAATCCCCGAACACAATGTCGAAGCAAAGTCACACTGAACACAAGCACTGAGGCTGAAAACTTGGTGCCCGTACTGGGTTGAGTCTGGACATAAGTCCCGGACTCAGGTATGGTCCTGAGGGCGAAAGTGAAAATGCCTCAGGGCCAGTACTGAAAATTGAAACAGTACTGAAAATTGAAAGTCTGAGAGTGGGCGCCAGAATGTCGGATGCTCTGGGATGTGACTGTTCACCAGGTGCCATTTGGACTTGACTCCCAAGGTACCAGACTGTCACTTTTCTGAACTGGCCGACTTGGCCTCCCTTGGCCTGAGACCTTGAACCTGAAATTTGAATTTGGGGTCTGCATCGTGGAATGCCTTTCAAACAACATGTGCTTACCTCCATTCCCTGCCTCATTCATTCAGAATGGGGTAGCTTTCACCGTTTGTTCAACAAACGCCGCGAACGTCAGTATCATAGTGTGCTAATTTGCCCCTCTTTTGGGGAAGTCTCAATCAATGTTTGATCACGTTTCTCATTCATTCAGAATGGGGTAGCCTTCATCCTTTGTTCAACAAACGGAGCGAATGTCAGTATCATCGTGTGCTAATTTGCCCCTCTTTTGGGGAAGTTTCAATCAATATTTGATCACGTTCCCAGTGGTCATTGACAAGCTCCTTTTATGCCTGCCTTGTCAAGGTTTGGTTGTTCCTGCCTTGAATTGAGGGTAGATGAGAGTAAATCCTTCTTCATGAGGGATGAACATGTCCCTCATCGGGGGCGAATTTAGTAGATTACAAGGATGGTTTTTGTGGGTGCCCGTGCACACTTGTGCCTGCATACATGCCCAGGTGCCTAATCGGGCATGATCTCCGGGCGGGGTTTTGGGTAGCGCCAAGAAAAAAAATAAATGATAATAAATCCGGGAAAAATGTAGGATTGCAATGCAGATGACTTTTGGCTGAGGGACAAATTAAATTCTTCACTGAATAGAAGATAAAAAGCATAACAATCATAAACCCAGGCTTTATGGTTAGTTCATTGGACAAAGAGACAAGGGTATCAATAGCCATCAACAAAAGACTACTCACGAAAGTCAGGGTCATAGAGACTGATGAATCCACAATTTTTGCTCCCACAACACCTATTCAAGATCTGGAAATTGATCCAGTACACTGGGCTTGGAACATGAAAGAGAATGGTTCAAGGATACGTAAGAGGGTTAACATACTCCACTACACAACYAAATGGGGGTATAGATTAAGAAAGARATCAACCCAGTTGGATCAACCCCTAGCAAGGAGATGGGAAAAAAGGGTGGGAATACCAAGACAGCAAATAAGAAAATTGCCGTGGTCGATTTTGCACACCATCAGGCTGAATAAGGTCCGAAGTATGCAGTGGTTAATATTTCATGTCGCACTACCAGTCAATGTTTGGCTTTACGAAAAACGAAGCAGGAACAATAGAGACGAGAGGGAGAAAAATTGCGTCATGTGCACTGAAGGAGTACCCGAAACATTGCTTCATTGCCTTCTGCTATGCCCGGAAGCGGAGTATGTTTGGTCTATAGCTCGAACCCTATGGGATCGCACATCGGAATTTGCATTCCCAAGGAGCAAAAAAGTCCATCTTACAGGAACGGAAGCTCCGAGAAGTTGGCACTCCAGCCATAAGTGCATTTACCAGCTATTGAGACAATACGCATTATGGACAATTTGGAAAAGAAGCTGTCAACAAGTGATAGGCAAAAATCCGTCAACCAGAATGGAAGCTCGAGCAACACTACATAATCTGCTACAAACAGACATTACAGCTCAATGGCAGCGAACCAAGAAACAGGCAGCAGCTAACCCCGAAAAGGCTAAGGATATTTTCACGAAATTTCAGAACAAGGTATTGGCCAAAGGCAAAGTGGCTTCAATAGAGGGGCACAGGCTGATCTTCCACTGGTTCACAGAGGACCAACAAGACATGGCAAACGGACATCTGGGACAGACACAGCAACTGGCCTCACCATGAACAAGGGAAGTCAATCTGGAGAATAATAGCAATGACAACAAAGGGAAAGGTCGACCCGAATAGACTAGGGTTTAGGGTTTAAGAAAAGGCAGAACGCAGAAACAGCAGTACAGACAGGATCTAGAGTATGGGTAAATCCATAAGAATAGGCAAAAAAAGGGCAAAACCCTCTAGAAACCTTAATGACTTAACAGGAAAAAGCTACAATCTGCGTGTAATAGACGACCTGAATAGACTAGGGTTTAGGGTTTAAGAAAAGGCAGAAGGCTGAAACAGCAGTACATACAGGATCTAGAAGTACCTGTTAGCCCAAAAGGTGGGAGAAAGGGAGTTCAGAGGATAAAACACCATAGAGCTCGAGAAGTGGTCAAATTCTTTTGAAGTCCCTTGGGTAGAGAGGGTAGAAATAATTGTTTAAGCAAACTCTTAGATCCCAGCCCCCGACACCAGCTCTAGCGTTTAGTTTTATCCGAACAGAACTCAGCTGACAACAGCTAGGAGCTAGGCAGCTCAGAGGAACAGAGGGTAGTAGATATAGGCTAACTTAGGCAGGGGTGAGGGGTGGTACATCYTTCCCTATGGAAGTAATCAATGCCGTCCACTCGGGCCTCTCAGCCATAATGGGGAGGAGCGTRAGYGTGTTTTCTCTGTATTCATATTTGACTTGCCGGGGGAATAGGAACCGGACTGTTGCTCCCCAGAATGGCAGGAGCCAGAACCGAGAGGTTCTGTTATTTTCAAAAAAAAAAAACAAAAAAAAAACGAACTGCGACATCACATTGGAGACCAGATAGTCCTGTACCAAGCAAAAAGTAGTATGCACCGAGATACAAGCCAAAAGAGCAATGCAATAANNNNTTTTCGGGGGAAAAAAAAAAAAAAAAAAAAAAGCATAACAATCATGCAGGACGTGCAACAAAGATTGCAGCTTATGAATGACCTCCACACAGTCGAGAAGAACGCAGAAATGCCTTTTCTGGAAAATGAGGCGGCCAGGGCACAGCAACTGGAACAGCAGGTGGGTAAAGAGGGGACCTCGGGGGACATAGAGGAAGAACAAGGGGAAAATATGGAGTGTGGAGAAGGGGAAGGGGAGGGCACAGGTGGAAACAATCAACCCTTGAAAAGAAAGGAGACGTTGGGGTCAACGGATGAATCGGAAAATCACGAGGGAAGGGCGCAGCGTCTAAAAAGGCAGCACAGTGAAGCATCAATGGCGCAGGACTCAGCAGCAAACACAAAGGAGGGAACCACTCACGGGACAGCGATGTCGGGAAGCACAGGTCAAGAAGGAGAAGACAAGGGAGGGTCTAAGGGAACTGCCACCACATTAGAATCCGATAAGGAAAGAGAGGAAAGGAGGAGGAGGATGCGTAATGTGGAAAACATGACAGAGGAGGAAATATTGCAGGCGGAGGAAGATCAGAGAGATGGTTCAGAGGATATGGAATCCGGGGATTCGTCAGAAGAAGGAGGGGAGCAAGAGGGGTCAGAGGAGGAGGATAGTTCCATTGAACAATGGATTCAAGAAGTGGAACAGTTGGAATGGGGAAGGATGATTGAGTGTGAGATCAGGCTTGCACACCACAAACATTTGAGAAACCTCAAACAGGCAACACAGGTTGCGGATGACATCACCTCAGAAAACAGATTTGAGTTACTAAAGAGGGAAGGTGAAATCAACGAATTTTACGCAGAATAGTATGCAAGGAAGGCTCGCTTTGTCAAGAATGACATCCACATTCAGCATGATGAATATGCAAAGATTTTCCAATGGCCAAAGACATATCACAACAAGGAGAGTAAGAGAGAAAGCAAGAAAAGAAAGGCTCAGAAGGAGGAAGAACGGGGAAGTACTGTGGGACTAAGGGGGAGTTCGATGGATGGTCTGACAAAGGGAGCTGAACAGAAAGGAGCTGAACAGAAACTGAAAGAGGAAGAGGAGGAAGAAAAACAGGAATTGAAGAGGCAAGTAGCGATACCGGTAGCTCAGGTTAATGTGCTAAAAGATGAGAACAAGGAATTGGAGGAGGATACGGTGAATCTACAGAAAATTGCAAATGGTAAGTGGAGAGAAATTAAAGCAGCAGC